TTCTGGCTTGAGCTGAACAGTTTTAGAATGACTTATTTTCCCAGTAGAAAACTGAAATGTTTGGCAGCACTGTTTCCTGCGGGAACTCTTTTTTTTCAGAAGCTGTATTATTTTCATTGGGAAATCATTCCGGTTTTAATGTTTTTGTACAAGCCACAGAACTGGTAATTGATAACTGCTTTTAGTTTTTGTTTGACTGTTAGCCTTACACTATTCAAAATGAAAGATACTGTCTGGTATCGCCACGTCATTCTTGAGTTGCCCAAAGCCTCCAAACCAGGGTCAGTGCTCAGCTTGGAGATAGCAGGGACTGCTCCTGACAGAGTTTGTTGGGGTTTTTTTTAACCTTGGGGAAAATCTTTGAGTCTCACTTCTCTCCTGTGCTGAGCCCGGGCAGTGCTAGTGCTAGCACCAAGCCCAGCATGCTGGCACAAGAAGGATGTGCTGGGGACGTGTATGTGAGCAGGAGGGATGCGCTGCCTGTGTAGTAGCCCCCAGTGGGGGTTCCCCACAACCTAGAAAGCATTAGAGCCACAGTGACCCCCAAATCACATTGTTCTGGTTATCTTTTTGTTAAAATAGAGTTGTGGCAGTTTTGTATGCAATAAAGCTTTAGAAGTGTCTGTTTTCAACTTCTGTGTTATGTGGGGCAACAACAGTAAACCTGCTTCTTCTGTTTATTCTTTTAGATGACTTCCACTTACCTCTTGATGTTTTACCGCCTGTGACGGAGGCCCTTGACTCCGAGACGAAAGGGGAAGATTTGCACAAGGAGAGCAGGCCTTTCCGCTACTGTGAAAAGAAAACCATGGACCTGTCAGACAGCGACCGTCCCGTCAGCTTTAGCTCCACTTCCTCCTCTGCTTCCTCCAGGGACAGCCACTGCTCCTTTGGAAGCAGGATGACCTTGGTTTCAAACAGCCACTTGGGCTTGTTCAACCAGGAGAAAGAAACGGGTGCCATCAAGCTAGAACTGGTCCCAGCCAGGCGATTTTCCAGCAGCAAGCCACGCAAAAACTCCCCTGCGGAGCAAGAGGATCCTGAGGAAAGCCTTGAAAAAAGGCTAACCATGCCAAGGAAAGCAGAACCAAAAGGAGCGAGCAAAAGCTGTGCAATGTCCCTGGTCACAGAGCCCACCAGTCCCAAGCTCCTCTATGTAGATAGAGTCGTCCAAGAAATTCTGGAGACCGAGAGGATGTATGTCCAGGATCTAAAAAGCATTGTGAAGGTAGGAGTCTTGGTTAGGATGGTGTTAAGTGTTTCATAATGCTATTTTTTACATTGTTTAATTTCACAGTAGGACAGATGGACCTGAAAATGGAACTGACATTTGCTGGTCTTTATAAAAGAGTGAAACATCGTTGTTCTTGCGTGTTTCTAGTTTTTATTTGATTAGATAAATCTAAGCTGTTACTACGTGTTTGTGAACAGGTAACAGAGAAATAACATTCTACAGTTGACAGCAGTAGTGAATGAAGAGTGGTAAACTCTTGCAGTAACGTTTATTTAGCAAAGAAATGTACAATGCTCTGTTTCCTATAACATATAGGAAGAAGCAAACAGCAGGCAGCTTGTTTGCCCCTTTAAATGCTTTATCGAAGGGTCTCGCTCATTGATTCTTTTCCCCCCACCAAATCCTAGTCCTGCAAGTTCTTTCCTGCCTTTTGCTGTCTCCCTTTCATGCAGCTCACACCTGCAGTCTGTTCACTCCATGTCCTCAGCCTGTAGTACTGGATATGACATGTGTGTTTGCTGGAAAACCCTATTGTTTGGCTGTTATATGAAGGAATTATGTTTTCTTTAATACTGATTCTGAATGGATGATTTATACCCATTTATTAGCAGCAGTGAAGTTTTTGTCCAATCCCCAGATGAACAGTATCACTGGCACAGGCTGACCAGGGAGGTTTTGGGGTCTCCTTCTCTGGAGATATTCAAGACGCACCTGGACAGGGTCCTGTGCAGCCTGCTCTGGGTGACCCTGCTTTGGCGGGGGGGTTGGACTGGGTGACCCGCGGAGGTCCCTTCCAACCCCGAACATTCTGTGATTCTGTGATTCTGTGATTTTTCCCTTTCTAGTACAGGGATAAATATGGACGAGTGCTCCTGTGGATTGTTCTGTTCATTCCATGCACTTGTAACTGTGCCATCAGAGTCATGTTCTTTTGTGTTCTCAAAGACGACAGTTAAGTCCCTTGGCTATTGTTTGTAGTCTCTGTACTTAACCTATGTGTGTATGACTACCCACAGAGAAGGATTTCTTGGGAGGTCCGTGTTTAATGTGCTGTTTGTAGGATGTATAGCTTTAGAGGTAGCTGTATGAGGTCATCTGCAATAGGAAGTATCAGTCGGCTGGAGACACTCTTCCCACTCACAGTTCCAAGCCCGCTTGGTCCCTTAAGCGATGAGTGGGGAAGAATGCTAAGGCTTTGATGACACAAATGCGCATCATGATTAAACACCCCCACCCCCCCTTCCAGACTTCTCCTAAAGAAGGCTTTTTCTACAAGACTGTATTGTTTCTGTAGCTGCTGTTTCTCTAAATTCACCTGTTGCCTAGGTTTCATTTTGGAGAGTTTAAGGTTGTCATACGCTGCAGAAGCAAACCAACTTCTGTGTGTAGTCACTGTTCACTAGGTGTGACCTCCATGGTTTTGGAAACCTTAGCTCTCACTCATCCTCCTATGCAGTAGACTATACAACTTGAGAAACTGGCACCAATCATTAAAATCTTGAAACAGATGTTCCATTTACAAGTAGGAAGGCCAAAAAATGATTGCTAGAAATACTTTAAGCATCACTACAGTAGATGTAGAGTAAATGTGGCAAATGGTCTTGAGGTTATGAAAGAACTGGAGGAATTTACCTGTGAAATACCCAAGTGTATTTCCTACAGCAAATAATAAATAATGAAACTTGAAAGCTTTGTGTGGCATTAGACAGCCTATCTGAGAGATAGGATGGTTGGCAGTGGGGCTTTTCTTAGGTAGGTGTTGAGGATCCGAGGGCTTCAAAGGTGAGGACAGCGGGGAACCAGCTACATCAGGCTGCTCATGTTCTTTGCTTGGTCTTAGTGGAGGGAAGTATGACTGGAAGCATGTTACAGAGGAGCCTATTTTTTATGTTTCTCAGGATTCTTTGCTCCACAAGTTACCTTAGCAATGCTGCAATGATTTATCTTGTGAGAAGGACGGGAAGGCTGCACAGACATCTGCAGGAGTGTCGCCAGCCTTACAGGACTCAATTACCCAGGCCGCTATGACTTGAGGCCATTTAGTTTGGCAGCCGGCTGACTGCTGCTGAGCCAAACTAAGATGAAGGGAAGCAGCTTGATCTGTCTTATTTTTCAGATAAACACGGGTCAAATTTTGGCAGCTGGTTAAGAAATGGGATGAGAATGGGAAAAGGGGAGCTGGGGAAGGGTCAGAGGACAGCTGCTGCCCGAGAAGGGTGTGGGAACTGAAGAGATACATGAAGGTGGGGGCTGGTGGAGCAATGCATAGGCAAATGAACCAGTGTGAAGTGGAGAGAGAAAATCATTAGAGGGAAAACAATATGAGGAAATGAGAGAAAACCCGGGAAGCAGAAAGTTGAGGGGAGTATGAAATTGGTTGGAACTGGAGCTCTCTAGCGAGTTCTGCAGCTGACTGCAGTACAGCAGCTTGTGTACACAGGCTAAAAATAGCAAGAAGGTTTTTTTGTTTTGGGGTGGGATTTTTTGGCAGGGGGAGGGAGGGAGGAAGAGGAGCAGGGCAGTCCAGGTGCAAAGAGCTAAAAGCTGAAGAGATGTCAGACTGAGGATGGTGTAAGAACAAAAAGGGAGAAATAAATAGGTACTATTTTAATCACCCTCCACCCCCAGCTGAGAACTGTCGGTACAGATCTAGTCCGTTGCTTTTTGTCCCCTGGTAGTGAGAATTTGCTGATGCTACTTTCTCTGTAGACAATGGAAACATACTTAAAAAGAATGTGTTCTTACTGTTGTTTCCAGCGCTTTGAAACAGGTTCTAGAGCTGGAACTGAGAAGGTTTCAAAACTCACGTCCATGAATCATCCACTCTCTAAATTTCTGGTGTAAAGGAAAGCATGTTTGCCTGCAATGCACAGTCAAGCTTTTTGGGAGGGGGTTGGATTTTGGGTTTTTTTGTTTTTATTTTTGGGGGGGTTTGGGGGGGATTTTTTTTGGGGGGGTGGTGGTGTTTTTTTGTTGGGTTTGTTTGCTTTGTTTTGTTTTTTAATACATCCACACTGTTTTTCATCATCCAGATCTTTAAACAGGCCTGGACCCACTATTAACCCCTGGGGTATGCTGCTGATTACTGGCCCCCAACTAGGTTTTGTGTCTTTAAACACCACCCTCCGGGCCTGTCCATTCAGCCAGTTTTCAGTCAACTTCACTGTCTGCTTATCCACCCTGTACTTCATCAGTTTGTCTATGAGGATCTTATGGGAGACAGTGTCAGAAGGCTTGCTGAAGTCAAGGTAGACAATATCCACTGCTCTCCAGTCATCTGCCAAGCCAGTGGTTTCATCGTAGAAGGTTGTCAGGTGGTCAGCTTCCCCTTGGTGAATCCACGCTGACTATTCCTGGTTACCTGCTTGTCCTTCGTGTGCCTGGAACTGATTTCCAAGATTAGTTGTACACAAATGTAGAGAGCATACACAGCTGTGTACAAATGACCTGTTAATATGGATCGTGTGAAGTTGCATATAGGATCCTGGTACTATTCATCTTATCCAAAGCCAGCTCATAAAGAGTTAGCCTAGCATAGTTTTTTGTGCGGGGTCCTTTCAATCAATGTTATCTGTAGAACATGTGGAGTTATCATGCTTGACATAAAAGACTGTGCAGTGAATAGCGGGAAACAGAATTTCACCCTTTTTGATGCCTTTATTGACCTAATGCTGTTAGGTCATTAATAAGTAAATAAATAAAAATAAACTAGAAAGACATAACTTCTGTTGGCTATTGAGTATCTGGGTGGCCTTTGTTCTTAACAGCGCCAAAATGCTAGACATAGGACATGCCTAATGTGATCTTTAACTCATACTGTAGATCTGCTGAAGTTCTCTGGCTTTCTTTTAAATTGCTAATAAGAAGTATTTCACGGGCTTAGGATGAGTGAGAGGAGGGCATACAGGCAAGATTTGGATGCCTTTGCCCAAGGATATGGTTTAGAAACAACTGCTTTTCTAGCCAGTACAGCCATTTTGCCTGTGACCTGAAAGAACAGTTGAAAGACGATTGTTTTGAGCCACACTGCTGTGATTCTTGCACAGACAAGCATTGTGACAGAGTGAACTTCTCCATTGTTTGGTATGTTTTATCAGATGATTTGTTAAGTATAATTAAAATTCTGAATTAGTACAGCTTAAAGTGTGTTTTGGGCAAGTTTGTGATGAGAAATCGAATACCTGTTCTTCCTGCTTGTGTCATGCTGACAGGTGTACTGGCCAGGGCAGAACCTGCAGACCTTCTCCTCTTCAGGACCCAGCCTGACTTTTTCAAGTAGTAATTTAGTTAGAATAGGCATCAACTTCAATTAGAGTAACTTACTGAAGTAACTTTTTTTTTCCCTAAGTAAAATGCTGTCCCTGAGTTTATAATAAAAATGCATTTTGCTCTTGCGGTTCATAGAACTCAGAAGCCTATAGTAGTAATTCGTGCAAATGCTTGTATCTGTAGAAAAAGACATCTGTGTTTTTGTTTTACCTTTGCAAAATGAAGGAATACACTGCAAATGCACTGTTACAGTGCATGCATCTGTCATGTTACATTAAATGCACTCTCATAGTGGTATCAGCCCGTTGAGAACGTCTAGATCCACTGCGTGAACCTCAGCCATTTGATATAAGAGCTCCTATCAGTAAAATAATAGTCGTAAAAAGTCATTGGCATCTACACAGTAACTAGAGGGGAGTGAAGCATGCATTGTCAGTGCATTTTACACGTTTGATGCAAACGGAGCTTGAGATTCAGGAAGCTTGAACTCCAACTGAAATCTGGGAAAATTCTTTTATGTGAATGAGTTCCTCTACCCTTTCACTCCAAACATGACATTTTTTTTAAACCATCCTGACTGGACTAGTTGAAGTCTCTCTGCTATCTCCTCTCCAGATCTTTTTTGTCCCCCACCCCTCATTTTTAAATTTAAGACTCCTCATTCAAACCTTTTTACCTCGCAAGTCCTGTTCTCCTCTGCAGTCTTCTGCCTACGATCTCCCCGT